GGACCATGATCAGAATGAAGAAAACAGCACACAGAAAGATGGTGAGAAGGAAAAAGCAGAACGCGACAAGGGTCAGAGCAGCAGCAAGAGGAAGGTGAGTCTCGCTGCACAGGTGAGGAGACCTTTGGACTGCAGACTTGGTTGTCTCCCGGATGGGTTAGCTAGTAGATATCAAATGGCTGCAGGGACACCCTGTTTGGAATACCTCGTTTTGTTCTTTAAAAAAGAGATTGTGGCGTCACTGGTGTTCATTTTGAGACTTAGAAGTTTTCCTCCCAGTGGATCTTGAGGTACTGCCTTGCTGCCAGCGTCCTCATCGGCTCAAGTCAGGGAGTTGAACTAGGGAATTAAAGCTGACACTGCTCTGTGAGCTGCTGCTGAGTCTTTGTAATTGGTATGTCCTTGGAGACTTGGGGCTTTTTTACTGCTTGGTCAGTGGTGGTCTAAGCAGAAAGTGACTTGGGGAAAACACCAGTTTAGAGACTGAGAGCTTGCTGGATCTGTTTTTCCCTTGAGACCTGGGAGCAGTCACTTGTGTATTTATTCTGTACTATGGCATTCTCTCCAAGTGCAGGCGTGGAGTTAGAGGCTAAGGTGAAACAAGCAGAGGTGAGACCGTGTTCTAAGGAGTGTCTTTCAGTATTAGCAACATTAGCAGTGCGTGGCTTTTATTGAGCCCTTCGTACATGCTAGCCGCTATGCTCAGCATTTTATGTGTTCATGTATTTGCTCCTGTCAGCAGCTCTATGGAGTGTGGATGATTCTTTTCCCCATCTTACAGCCTAAACTCAGGCTGGAGCAGGTTAAGCAGCTAACCCATGGTCATGTGCCAGTACCTGATAGAGTGTCAGCACTAAGTCCTATCAGATGAGATTGAAGCATCAGTCAGATCTGTAATGTGAGAAAGTCATAAGCGAACATAGGGCACCGCAGAAGTGTTCTGACAGGAATTTTGAGTTAGTTGACCACTCCAGAAATGCGTGTGTCAGCAGGATCTTGGGCACTTTGCACGCAGTTGAGGTTCTGTCCATTTTTAATTATGGCAGCAGTAAGGGGTGGAATTTTACACTGTGTTCTCAGACTCTGCACGTGACAAATGCTCACAGTCAACACACTTTGTTCCCCTGTAGGCTGTCGTCCCTGGACCAGCAGAGCATCCCCTGCAATACAACTACACCTTCTGGTATTCCAGGAGGACCCCTGGCCGGCCCACCAGCTCACAAAGCTACGAGCAGAACATCAAGCAGATCGGCACCTTTGCCTCTGTGAGTCTGCAGTGGTTTGATGCAGTCAGTCCTGACCTACCTTCCCTAAGTATTCCTACTGTCTATCTTTGTTTATATATTTTCCTGGTAAACTAGTTAGCATTCTGGTTTCCTTAATCAGCTCACCTGAGTCACTGAGGCAAGATGTGCTCATTCTTAGATGCCTCATTTGATACACATAGCTCACGTATGTATATTGTTGCTGAGTGCTGGCAAGTCAGTTTCAGCTCGTGGTGACCCTCTCTCTGCACAGAGCTGGCATGCTTCATAGGGTTTCACAGACTGGCCTTTCTCCTGTGGAGCCATTGCTGGGTTCAGCTGTGGGCCTCTCACTTAGCCATGGTGCCACTTGGGCTTCTTCAGGTAACATGCATAGGTATCAAAAAATTTATGAATCATAGAACAGTGCAAAAGGGAACAATACAAAAACACAGATGTTTAAAAATAAAGAATTGATCCATTTGAATTGGGGTTTTGGCTAAGGATATTGACTACCATAGCTACCAGAGGAACAGACAAATCTGTCTTGTAAAAAGCACATCAGAATGTAGGGATGGTGAGACATCATCTCCTATGCTTTAGACATGTTATCAGGGGAGTCCGGTCCCTGGAGAAGCATCTGGTGCTTGGAAAGTAGAGAATTTGGCAAAAAAGAGGAAGACCCTGATGAGATGAATTGGCCCAGTGGTGACTGTGAGGACAGTATCTGGTCAAGAGTGTGTCACTCTGTTCCACAGAGAGCTGCTGTGAGTCAGAACTGAGCAATAGTGCCTACAGTAAGAACAAAGTAGAGTAGCTAAAAACTTTACATGAATTCTAAGGTTTATGCGTACTTCTTTTTATGAGTTTGAGTTAGTTTTGTTATTTTGGGTAGATGTTTAATGATGCCTTACTGCGTAAAGGACCCAGAGATTACAAAATTTTATAGTATAGCTTCTGCCTCATGAAGCTTGACAATAAAATTGAAACTAGATTTCAAAAGTTTCTTCTGTGTATCAAAACTTCACATTAGAGTAAAGAAGAATTATCTGTGGATGCTGCCCAGGCTCCATCCTGTCTTCCTCTGTGGAGGCCAGTCCATTGTGCCCTAGGGCTGTCTGCAGATAAAGCCAGTCTTACTCAGAGGTCTTCACGTACCTTCTGTGTTGTGAGCTCAGTCTCTGGGCAGAATCAGGTGCAAGGTTCGCTGTCTTCCTGAAAATCATCAAAGTGCTTATCTTGTTTAAGACTGGGCAAGAGCACCACGATGGACTTACATACTATGGTAAGTAAAGAGCACATGGTGACAGCACTTAAGCATCGACATTTCTTCCCTTCGTTAGATGTAAATACTGTGCAAGGTAAAGAGGACACAGTAAGAGCACTTCAGCATTGTCATTTCTTCCCATCATTTCACTAGCATAGGAGGAAAGCTGAATTTAAGTATAAGATTATAAATCTGAAATACCAGATGTCAGGAGTTGCCTCGTGGAACCAGTGTTGAGAGATTCCGTTTGGATGAGCTAACTCTGATCCTGGTGCTGTGTTAGTCTTTGCCTCTAGCCCACCAGAGTTCTGCCGGAGGCCTGATCATCACCTCCAGCCCATGAGACTCAAGCCAGGTGCTTGATCCTCACCTCCAGCACACCAGAGTCATGCCAGGGCCTTAGTCCTCCCCTCCAGCCTATGAGAGTTATACCAAGCCCTGAGTCCCCCCCTCCAGCACACCAGGACCCTGCCAAGGTCTTAGTCCTAACCTCCAGTGCACTGGAGTGCATGCCAGGCATTCCCATGGCTTTCTTGCCTTGCACTTAAACCTGGGTTCCTACTGGACAAACTATATTTTTCCATTTCTTATCAGCAGATAAGCACATTTAACTGGTAGATCATTTGTTTAATGTGAGATAAACAATGTTAATGTGCTAAATTGGTAAAGTTGTAGGCAAAAGTGAAGATCTTGCTTAAATTGGCCTGCCTGGAATCCCTTTTCACTAGTTAAATTTGTTGTTGTTGTTGTTATGTACCGTCGAGTCGTTTGCGACTCATAGCGACCCTATGTACAACAGCCCTAAACCCTGCTCTATCCTGCACCAACCGCACTGCCGCTGACACACCCATCCCGATTACCCCAGTCACTGAATCAATCCACCTCATAGAGGGTCTTCCCCTCCTGTGCTGTCCCTCTACCCAGCATGATGTCCCTCTCCAAAGACCTGTCTCTCCTTGCAGCATGTCCAAAGTATGTCAGACAAAGCCCCAGAATCTTTG